AAAAAAAAAAAAAAGAGAGAGAGAGAGAGAAAAGAAAAGAAAATGCTTGCAGCCAAGGGCGGGTGTGGTGGCTCTAATCCTAGCACTCTGGACCACAGAAGCGGCAGGACTGCTTGGAGCTCAGGAGTTCAAGACCAGCCTGAGCTAGAGGGAGACCCCCATCTGTAAAAATAGCTGAGCATTGTGGTGGGCACCTATAGTCCCAGCTATGTGGGAGGCTGAGACCAGAGGATTGCTTCAGTCAGGTTTCTGTGAGCTATGATACCGCAGCACTCTACCAGGGACGACATCTGTCTCCAAAAAAAAAACCACTTACAGTCTGAAGACATTTAATTCTCACAACAATGCTACAATGTCAGAATAAAATTTTTTATTCTCTAGATGAGAAAACTGAGGCACAGAAAACACAGTAATTTGTTCAAAGTTTCCAGGCTAATACTCAATCCATGTTAGCCCTGTCTACTTAGTGCCTGGAAACCCTAATAAGACACACCAGCAAGCCCCTAGTTGTTGTTTATTCTTAAACTCTGAGATTATAGGATATTCTACCAAACTCTGGTAATCTCAGGGTTATGCTATACACATAAATAAGTAACATCGTATCCTGCATTAACAAGTTGAGGGCAAGTTACAAGGAGCAAATAATTGGAGAGATGTATCATACTAGCATCACTGTTACACACGCCACGCCCTCCCCCAGAACCTGAGCACTTTGAGGAAAGGCCCAAGAGACCCCATAGCTCCCATCTCACGCGGTCGACACACCCTACTTCTGGCCCCGTCTGGAGGGTTGAGTGTCTAGTCCAAACAGAGACTCTCAGGGTCTGAGTACCGAAGGATCTAAGTCGGGGTGTTGAGCACAAAGGCATTTTGAGGTGGTTTTCCTCCCTTGAAATTTCTTTCATTTATAAATTGATTTAATTTTTATTTAATCACAAAATAACAGCATTGCTTCCCGTTTTTCATGTGTTTATTTCTTTTCAAAAAATCCCTTTGCCTTCTGCCGCCCCAGCTCACTCATGAACCGTGAACCAGGCAACCTTTAATATCCGTGCTCCTCTCTCTCTGTTTTCCAATCACAGCCCACTTGTCAGCGTCCTGCCCCCCGCCCCCAGAGGGACATCTATTTCCTCCCCAGGCCTGAGGCTTTCCACAGGCCCTGTCATTCACCTTCTGTCTGTCAAATTCCCATTCCCCAGGGAAACCATCCTGGCTCCGCCACAGAACTACAGATGGCCAGAGCCTGGCTTGTTTGTTTAGGTCAGTCAGGGCTTACCTGAAAGAAGAAGCAGGCTATTAATCTCAGAGGAGAATTGTGCAGCTGAGGACCCTCCTGACATCCGGACAACACACGAGGTAAGCCAGCCCTAGATCTGCAGGGGAAAAGGCAATTTCCAAAGGGACTTTCCATCAAAGTTCTTTATTTGCAATATGGATCCTCTCATATTACTTACTCTGATAGGAAAGAGGCAGATTTTTCTCTCTAATGAAGTGTTTGAGAAATCCTTCCACGAAGTGTTTTAGAGATCTCCCTGTGTGCCTGCCCCTCCCCTTCCTACTTAAAGACTCCTCTTCAACCAGAATCTGCAGTAGTGTGAGGGAACAACTTTTAATAAAAGAGAAAAGGATAGAGAGGAAATGGGTTTTCTCTTAAGTGGTTTGGCTTCTTTCAAGCTTGGCAGTTTTATTTAAGATGAGCAGGAGCAAGTCTTAGCTCTATTCAGAAAGACTGTAAATCCAGAGAAAACAAAGCATCTTTAGGGACGCTTTTTCCTCCTCCTTCCACTGCCATTCTCTGTTAATCACGTTTTCTAATATGACTTTACAGTCTCACAGACAGCAGTGCAAACTCCGCACTCTTCTGGTCGGGATCAGGCTGCACCCCAACAACACCGACACATAAACTCCTTCACCAGGAACGCTGTTCTTTCTTTACCTCACGGTTCTGCTCTGAAAAACCACGTGGAAATGAAACCTGGTCAGTCATATCAGATTGTAAACGTGCTAAGCTTGGTATTTAAAATGATTAATGATTTATTTTATAAATAGAAACGTTTTATACAGAATAACATACTTTCACTCCTCTTGGCCCCCTTCTGCCCCCGACACACTTTGTTCTTTGCGCACACATTAATCTTGCCCTTTCCATAAATAGAGAATTTTATTTACTTAACAGCTTAAATTAGGGAACATCATCCTGAATGATCGTCTTTCTTGATGGTAGGCCGCTGTCATTTGTTTATTCAATTACTAATTAAATAATTATAGACAGTAATGTATGTACCAAGTATATGCCAGGAGTTGAAGGACAAAAATTGTTTACAGAAGAAAAAAAAACAAAACAAAACACAGCTTCCCTGAGAAAGCTCACAGCCCAGCTTCACTATGAAAGTGACCACAGCTGAGAACATGTGTGGGCACAGTCCCAGGGCATCAGAACATTTCTCATATGAAACAAAATCTTAAAGGGTAAACAGAAGGCCACTGAGAAAACAAAGAGCTGAAGTACCTTTGAGTCAGAGAAAACAGCACACACCATAACGTAAGGTGGAAGAGAACATCTGGGGAGACACCAGATTAGTTCAGGAAGTTTTTCCTTTGACAAAATGTCTATTGGTGTCTTTCCTACCTGACCCCAGAATGGGTCTCAGCACCGGATACACAGCAGAGAAAGACCAGGCCCCTGCTCCTGAAGTTTACGCACCGGTGGAGAGACAGATACTGAACACATTGACAAAAATAACAAGCGTCATTTCAGTTGGACAGTTACGGAAAATGTAAAGGAAGGCAAAGTGCCCTCGACAAAGACCAGGGAAGATCTGCAGTGGTTCTCAACCTTCCGAATGCTGCGGCCCTTTAATACAGTTCCTGTGGGTCATGACCCACAGTTGAGAACCGCTGATTTAGAGGCTGATCTAGACCGCAGGATCAGGGAAGGCTGCTCTGAAGTGGTGAATTCTAACTCAAACCAGATGAGAATGAAGAGGTAAGACTGATAGTGTTGATTGGAAAAAGGCTGGGGAACAAGGGGAACTATCCAGTTTGGGGTTTGAGCAAGTGAGTATGTGGCGATATCACTCTCTGAAATGATAGCAAGCAGGAAGACCGTGGAGGAGGAGCTCGGTAAGAGTCTTAGAGGACACGGACAGAGTTTAGACTTTATTCTAGCTGTTTTATAGACGGGAGAGTAGTTTGGAGCCAAGAATGACCTTTTGAGATGTGTCTTTAAAAAGATGGTCCTAGTGTTGCTTAAAGGATTGATTGAATAGAATTAATCGATAGGTGTAATTGCCCGTGTAAGGGTGATGTACTCTATTTTCTGTTTTATCTATTCTGTTTTGTAGTGATGACGACCATCTCAATAAATTGACTTCAGGATCAGTTACTGGGTTGCTACCCACGGTTTGAAATGCGTTCAATTAGAATCCAGTAGACACGAGAAATGCCAAGAAATATCTTTCCTCTTGTTTCCTGGTATAGGCACAACAGTTGGATGCCTTCCTCAGTTTTAACATATGTATTATTTTAACATATTTTTTTTTTGAGACAGGGTCTCACTTTGTCACCCTCAGTAGAGTGCTGTGGCATCACAACTCATAGCAATGTTAAATTCTTGAGCTTAAGTGATTCTCTTGCCTCAGCCTCCTGAGTAATTGGGACTATATCCACTCACACAATGCCTGGCTATCTTTAGACATGAGGTATTGCTCTAGTTCAGGCTGGTCTTAAACTCATGAGCTCAGGCAATCCACCTGCCTTGACCTCCCAGACTGCTAAGATTACAAGCATGAGCCACCGCACCTGGCCTCAACTATGTATTTTTGAAAACATTCTTTTGAAGTGAAGTAAATGGAAACTGATAACTTTAATTAAAGATACCATG